TTGGTTTTACCCGAGTAATAAGTGTTATAGGTCGGTTCATGTCGGGTTTGTGGGTTACTAAGTATTAATTATAATTTAATTTTAATGAATCAGAGTTGACTTATAAATTGAATTTTTTATACAATTAATTACCTTTTTTATATTAATTTATGAAAATTAAATGTACCCGTAACTTTAGTTGCCTTGGTTTGGGTGTGCTTAACTCTTAACCTCGATCAAAATTCAAGCTGCAGTCACAGCCCCTTATTCTCCCTTTCCTTCAAATTTCTCCCTAGTTCAAAAAAAAAAATTATTAAAATTAAATGATAATTTTAAATTAAATATTATGAAATAAATATATTTTTAATTTTCAATTATCATATTTACTTTTACTTTTTTAAAAAAATTATTATTATTTAGAATACATGTGACTCTCCAATACTTACATCAATCTATAATTAATACGATGCAATCTAATAAAAGTTATTTTTTAAACAAACAAATGTCATCATCATAAAATGAGAATTAGCAAGTCATAAAAGAAAAATGATGCACTTTAAAATCTACCTTTTAACAAAACAAAAAAAAGCTTATTTAAAAACCAAAAATATATATTAATTTAAGTTATTTATTTTAAACTATATTAGATAACTATATTCATTATTTTAAAATATTCATTATGAATATATTCTTCCAATAATGAATATGTTTTTTCTACTTCATTGAAAAATGGTGCATCATAATTTAATTTTTTATATATTTTAATATCATATTAAATTTCTTTAAAATTATATTTGTAAGTTTTTTACTTAAAAAATTACTTAATAAAAATATTTTAAAGAACTTTTAAAACAAATTAATCAAACGGATTAATTTGTGAACTAGTGAGTTGACCCATGAATGACCCGCGATCTATTCAAGTTGACTCAAATGGATCACGAGTCCAATAATAGTTGATGTTAATTCATTTTTTATTGATTGAGTTGAGGTTTGGTCATTGATTGTGAGGAGAACCCCAAAGAGAACAATAAGACCCACA